GGTTTCTCTTTTCAGGGGAGGGCCTGCGTGCAACCCCCAACCCACAGGCTAGACATGGCCTGCTGTCCAGTGTCATCCAGTCCATGGAGCTGCCCACAGGTCCAAACATTTGGCAGCAAAAGAGCACTGCTCCCCCCCCCCACCAAATTCTTGGACTGTGGGGAGCCCTCAGCCCTGCACACTGGATCGGGCACCTGATCCCAGCAGATAGGGCCAGGCAGGGGTGATGCCAGGTCTCAGGGCCCACTCAGGAGCTGGGGGGGGGCAGTGCCAGCCCCCTCTCCCCTCTCAAGGACCAGTCCCAGGGCTCAGAGGTGGGAGGGAGCAATGCTGGGCTCCAAGGCCTGCTCCTGGCACTAGGGGCAGGGGTGGTGTGATGCTGGGCCCCAGGGCCTCTGGTGCACAGAGCTCAATCCAGCCCATGGCCTAGTCTTGCCCCACTCATCCATGGGTCCAAAAGGTTAAGCACCACTGGGCTAGAATATCACATTCTCCCACTTGCCTTCCCTCTCTCCTATCCCCATATAGGGTTCTGGGCTTTTAATTGGTTACTTTTCTCAAGCTTTTTGTTACTTTTTTATAATAAAGGTTAATACAAGTTTTAAACAAAAGTGTCTGTCTCTGCTGAAGATCAGATAGGCAAAAAATGGCTAGTACATTGATCCTGACAGAGCATAAGGCACCCAATTGCTCAGCACTGTCAAGACTCAGCAGTTCTGGGCATGCTTGACTTTGGAAACTTTACTGCTCAGAAGCCTCCAGGACAAGGTGGCAAATTTTGAACTTAGTCCCCCTTCAGGAACTGTTTGGTGGCATTTAAGCACCTGAGCATTTTGTAGATCAAGGTTCAGGCAACTCAGCAAAAAATTAGGCAATGAGGCCTGACAATCTCTGTGCTCATATGTGCACAGGAAACTGGAAATCCCCAAACTGTCCAAGACAGGTTTATGCCATGTGGTTCCAGAAGGAAAACAAAACCCCAGTCTAATTCAATGAGGTGGACTTTGTTTTTATATTTCCTTAAAATATATATTTCCTGAAAATGAGAGCAATGTATTCCAATGTTCCCGTAATGACAGACAGCAATGACAAATTATTAGGAAATTGTTTTAAAAAATGTTCCCAGGAATTAGAACCTGAAGTTCTAACCCAAATTCTAGGCAGACAAGGTTCTTTGGGTGAATCTGAAAGCTTTTATTAAACCAACTTAAATAATTGGGAAAAAAAATTTTAGCAAGCTTTTGGGCTTAAAAACCCTTCGTCAGGTTGAGAAAGTCTCTGCAGTTGGTGTGTGCTCTTCCTGGATGGAAGGAATAGTAAAGCAGCCAGAGGCTGGCCTTGGCAAGACAGGCAGGCAGTGAAGATGTAAATGGAGGAGTCAGTGGGTGACAGATAGACTGGGTGGGTGGGGGAGAAAAAAGGAGGATGAATAGTGGGGAGGTACCTGGGGAGTCAGGGGTCAGGCAGGTTATAATGTGTCATAAATCCAATGTCTATATTTAGTCCATGATTTTTTGTATCCAGGAGGTTGATGAAGTGGAGTTCATAGGCTCGTCTCTGAGAAGTGTTTTGTAAGTTCCCTTGGAGGATTAGAACTGAGATAGGAGAGAGAGTGGTTTTCTTGTAAGAGAGGTGCCCCCACCGGTAATTGGGTATTCTTGTCTTTGATAGATTTCCGGTGTGCGTTCATTCTGGTGCGCAGTTGTTGTTTGGTCTCTCCTATGTATTTTCCACCAGGGCATTTGATGCATTGGATGAGATGCATTACATTTCTGGAGGTGCGGGTGTAAGATGCAGGGATGCTGACGGCTCTGTTGCGGGGTGTAGTAATTGTGGGGGGGGATGGAGATGTGTTGGCAGGTTTTGCATTTCTTGTAATGGCATGGTCTGGATCCATTCAGTGTATTTTGGGCTGCAGGAAGTTTGCTTCTGGGGATGAGCTTAGCAAGGTTCGGTGCTTGTTTGAAGGCGAGGATGGGTAGTTCTGGGGAGATCTCTTTAATAGGGTCTCTTTCTAGTATGGGTTGCAATTGTTTGAGGATTTTCCATATGGTTTCAAGGGAGGGGTGATATGTCATAACCAGTGGCATGCGATTCATAGAGGGGGGTTTCTTCGGTCCTGCAGCAATTCTTCACATGGTATCCGGGTGGCTCTTTCAAACGTATAATCTTTCTCTCTGCAGGAGCGTCCTTTTAAGGTTGGTGACGTGGCAATCCCGGGTGTTCTCTTCAGTGCAAATTCAGTGGTATCTGAGGGCTTGGCTGTATATCACAGCTTTCTTGGTGCATTTAGGGTGATTGCTGGTTCTGTGCAGATATGTATGTCCATCTGTGGGTTTCTTGTATAACGTGGTCTGTATTTAACCATTCTGGATACTGATAATCATGTCTAAAAAGGAGATGTTGGTGCTGGAGTATTTAACAGATACTTGGATGGAGGGATGATGATTGTTCAATTTCTGATGGAACTCAAGCAGAGATTGCAGGTTTTCAGTCCAAATGATGAAGATGTCATCAATATATCTTAAGTATAGCAAGGGGGTGATGGTGCAGTCCTTGAGGAATTTTTCTTCCAGGTGCCTCATAAAAGGCTGGCACGCTGTGGGGCCATTTTGGTGCCCATAGCTGTGCCCGTGGTCTGGAGGAAGTGTTGGCTATTAAAAGTGAAATTGTTGTGTGTGAGGAAGAAGTGTATAAGGTCAGTAATATCTTTGGGTCTGTACTCTGAGTTGTAATCTTGCTCTTGTAGATATGTAAGGCAGGCTTGGATGCCATCCCGGTGTGGGATGTTGGTATATAAGCTGGTAACGTCCATGGTGGCTAGGAGGGTGTGGCTGGGAAGGTGGTCTATGTTTTTAAGTTTCTGTAGAAAGTCTGTAGTGTCTTGGAAAAACTTGCTCTTTGGGTGACAAGCGGTCTTAGGATTGATTCGACAAAACCTGATATTTCCTCAGTTAGGGTCCCGTGGTTGGATATGATAGGTCTGCTAGGGGTCCCTTGTTTTTAGATTTTAGGGAGCATGTAAGAAGTCCCAAATTCTAGTTTCCTAGTCACAGGATTTCCAGAGATCTTGGATTTCACTGGGAAATCTTGGAATTCCAGGGAAATGCAGACGCCCTGTACAATATATAAGGTACCTGTCTGCACTGGCCTTACACCACACATCTGTTCATTTCCTCCCAGCTTTGTTCAGTTATTAGCTCAGAAGCACTGACTTTGCTGCTCTACCTTCCCCGGTTCCTGGCTGGCTAAAGCAGTCATTGTCTTTGGCCCTCTCTTAGCTCGTGCCTGATTCTGCTTTCACTTACATTGTTTTAATAATGTAATTTCATTGGTTTCAGTTGGATTACTCCTGACATTTGCCAGTTCAAAAGACCTATTCTCTTTCCTGGAAAAAAAACCCTTTATAGAAGTTTTATCAGTACTTGCAGATTCCTATGGAAATTCCCATCAAAGTGCACTGACTCTAATCTGGGAGACCTGCAAACACAGGCTGAAAAATGGGAAAAGCATATTCCAGTTCCCAAGTACCCCAGAGCTGTAGGGTGCGATTCTAAATTTGGATCCAAACCCTCTGTCTCAAGCCCATCTATTTTATTTATCTTCCCTCTGCTCTTCTGACTGTGATTTGGGTTTAGACTGTCAACCCCATGACTCAGCCCCATCTCCCAATTTGTAAATCCCATGCTGTACAGTTTGGATCTTTGCCTTTTCTTTTTTTTTTGCCACTGTTACACCTTTTTTAGCTCTAAAAGCAAAGTCACTTCACTCTGACCCTTCACTGCAAACCTAGAGATCAAAATTGTCTGTTTTGTTTCTTCCATGAGCATAACAAAATTGAAGGCTGAGAGGGGATCTGGTGGCCGTCTATAAACATACCAAGGGGGACCAGTGGGGAACAGGAGAGACCCTGTTCCCCCGAGCACTACCAGGAGTAACTAGGAATAACAGCCACAAGTTGACTGACAGTAGGTTCAGGCTGGACATCAGGAGGCGCTACTTCACGGTCAGGACGGCTAGGGTCTGGAACCAGCTTCCAAGGGAAGTGGTGCTGGCTCCTACCCTGGGGGTCTTCAAAAGGAGGCTAGATAACCACCTCGCCAGGGTTGTTTGACCCCAGTACTCTTTCCTGCCACGGCAGGGGGTTGGACTTGATGATCTGCTCAGGTCCCTTCTGACCCTACCAACTATGAAACTATGAAATCTCAACAAGACATGGCAGTGGAAGATGGATATTTTCAGGCCTAGCCATTTTGAAGGACCGGTTGTGAAAGAGGTGAGTCAGAGAGTCCTGGTACATCTTGTAACCAGAAGACCAAAGGGGATTACTGAGGGAGAGAAATAGAGAAGCTGCAGCAAGTGTGACTTACAGGAAAAAGGAACAAGGAAATGGATTTTGGTGTTGTTTTTCTTAGCTGATGAATTTAAGAAGCAAGCTGATGAGCTGTTCAGCAGAAAAAGGTGCCAGCTTCAGCAAACACAATGCACAAGGAAGAAAAAAGGCATCAATGGTTAAAAATAAAATATGTTTTGTCCTGCTCGAAGGAGGTGGCTTTTTCTGAGCTGGGTCAACACCCTGAAAGGATTAAAAGAATTTAGCTTTTCTTCTTTGTATCATGGAAATCATTTGACAACAGGCCTCCAGCTGGGCCTTGTGCGTTAATGGAGAAGGCACTGAATGCACCAAGGATTCAAGTGCCTGGGAGTGGGCAAGGTGAAGTCTGTCCCAGCAGGTGCAGGGGACACAGGAAAACAAGGCTTGTGGGATTCTCAGTGAGACTTTTTTTTTTAAATTAAAATATATTTCTATATATAGAGAGTTATATATATACATCCTTGGTCATAAGCTTTCCATCACACATCTTAAAACTGCATTAAGAAACCTGCACTTCCCGTTACAATAAATGCATCCAATCCTCTACGCCCCTGCAGACCCTCCCTCCACCCTCACCTACCCAAATCGTTGGATTTCAGTCCAACCCCCAGTTTGGGGTTTACAGTCTCAGTTCATTCACTGTCCTTGTCGCTGTCGCTGTCACTTCCCCTGCTGCTGATCCTGTTGTAGTCCTTCCCGCTATCTCCAGGTCCAGTTGCATCTCTGTCCTCTTCGTTCTCTCTGTCCACTTCTCTGGACAACCTGCACCGCTTAAAAGAGTGACAGGAGTCAGGCTGATGACAAGGGAGGCAGCCACCTACGGACACCTGACTGAGCAGCAGGGGTCACAGGCAACGCGTTTCAACCAGTTTGTGTCCTGTGTCAGGAGCGCCCTGTGGCAATGCAGAAACCTCCTGGTATACAGGCACACTGAGCCCAAAGAAACAGACTGTGTTCAAACGTTTCTGAGCGAACTTCAGTCCTGCCACCAGAAATTGGTGAGCAAAGTTGGAGAAGAGGTAGCCAACTCCATCTGGATTCTCAGTGGGACACTGCACCTCCAGTGGTGAATGCTGGATAAGACAGATCAGTGCAAGAAGCCAAAGCGCTCCCTTAGCAAAGGGCAGCAGCCTACGAACAGACACCACCGGGCAACATTTATACTTCCGGCAGCTGAACCCACAGAAAATAGAGGGCAAATAGAAACAAGTGATATATCAGCACTTGTTTTTGTTTGTTTGTTTTAAAGAAATGAAGCTGCTGTTCCCAGGGTCTCCTTTCATTTCATGCAAGAAATACTCAGGTGTTCAGTGACTGCACCTGGGGCAGGAAAGCCTATTTGACTACCCCTCCAGAGAACAAAACTAGTCAGATGTGCATGCATTACAGATAAGCACTTCAGTGTCAGAAGAGACCCAAAGAGGTCTTTCCTGATACCTCAGCATGAATAATGGCATTGTCTACAATTTGGAGGATAGCACAGAAGAGGAGCTTTTGATGGGGACTAAGGGGATAGAGATGATACTATTACTGAATACTGGAACATATTAACCCAGCTGGGAAATAAATCTTAATGGAGAGGAGTTAATTTAAGAACATTTAACAATGCTTTGTTTCTGCATATCTCAAAGAAACTGAGTTGCATCTGGATTTCAGTTTAGCCCAAGGTCAGACAACAAATCAGTGGAAAAGCTTGGAAGAGAACCCATAAAATTTAGAGACTCCCTAGCTTGCCTCTGCAGCCATACAGCTGAAGGCAAGCAAAACTCAGGGGTGTCCAAACCCCGAGTCTCCAGGCTTGGGCCCCCACGTAGGATGCCCACCAAAGTATTTGGAAATATCTGAATACCCGGGTGGGGGTGGAGGATACTTGCTGGTAGCAGGACCACATATGGTTCTTGAATGACTCTCATGGATTTGGAATTGATTTGGCCGATTTGACTTGGACACGAAAAATTTTCCTTAAAAAGAAAACAAAAACCACCCCCCCACTAAAATTTACAACTTCTGACTTCCAGTCCTGTGCCCCATCCAACAGACAGAGAGTAAAAGCCTAATTCCAATACCAACAAAGTTGAGAGCATGATGATAAAGTTTTGCCTCTTAGTATTATGGAAATTGAACTTTAGGGTTAATATCCAGCAGGCACAGAAAATAATTCCCTTACACTTACCTTGATTAGGAGTGCATTTGGCTTTATTTGTGTTTTGCTTTCTTGAGAGCATTGTTCCTGCTGGAGGTAGGGAACTGGGCCTTATCAATCAATGATCTGAGTCACTATTGCAAACTTTGTCCTCTTATATAAGAATCACAGATATTGTAACAACTATTGAGATCAATGCTGGGCATAGCATACTTTGATCAATTTAGCCCTTTTCTTTTATTAGGATGAATCTCCTAGAAACAAAGCAAAAGAACCAACTTTTCCAAAATCAAATCTGCAAGCTTTGCTGCACCTACAAACCTACAAAGTAGCTTCATTGTGCATCTTGAAACACAACTGGGAAATCAAGGAAGTGTGCAGCTGGAGAGATAACGAGAACAGATAGTTATCCTTGTCATCTACATTTTTCTACAGGGATATATTTTGTTCTTTCAAGGTTATCCTACAAAATGTCCTTGTGCCATAGTATACCTCAGCAAATTCCGCCATCAGGGAATAAGTACAGTAAGTAGATCAACTTTCTTATGTTAACCTTTTAATAGCAAATTCTCTCATTACGTCACAAGGGCATTCAGGGCAATATTTATAAAGGACGCACGTCAACCTTGTGGTAAGATGCAGATAATTGGAAATTATTTCCTCCATCAGAAAAGTGAAACAGCTTATAGACTATTCTGTTACAACCCAGAAAAAATGCCCTGCAGCTGCCTCCTTCCAGAGCAGAGCATGATGTTCAGGGATTCATAGTGGATCGGCCCCAACCTGATTTCATGGAAGCCAGTAAGGGGCAAATTTTTAAGATCTCAAGAGCCAATCACTGAGCTCTACCTGGCTGGTAGGTCCATTTTGCAGGAGGCACTGCTAACACCTATGGTCCTTCCCCAGTCAGAAACTGAATTGGAACCTGGAGATGTTTTCTGTTTCTCTAGATGTATGCCCAGCTGAGCACACAGAGCTTTTTAAAGACTTCATGGGAAGTTACTATGTTCCCAACAGCTCCCAGGTCATTTGTCTAGCTCATTAAAATCCATATGCCCCCTTTTGACATATGTCAGTGGCTTCCAAGAAGACCCTTCCCCGTCAACAAGCTACGCAGCAGCCTCTGTAGCTAGAAAGAGCATCAACAGTGCAGAGGAGTCTACTGAGAGCAAGACAGAAATGCTAATTCCCTTACGAGAATATCATTTTTTAGAATTCAAATTATCTTCTAAACCCTCACATGGAATCTGGAGTTTAAGATCAATTCTCTACTTTAAAAGTCTTGCTTTTCTGAAGAGAAAGTAAAAATCGCCACTCCTCTGTCAATAGATCTAATTTGCAGGCTTTAAAAAAAACCCTCTTTCACCTCATTTTTAACCACTACAGGTGACAAGACGTATGAGATCACTGGGTTTATGCAAACAGCTTTGGAAGCCTCTTTATACTTGCTTGGACTGTGGGGTATAATTTGAATTTTGCACTCCCTTAAGTTAGAATATGTTATTTATTATTTCCCCAAATATTTATCACTGATGGGGTGGACTCAAGTGAGCTGTGTTTAGCACAATGATTCTCGTTAAGTTTGATTTACATTCTTTTCCATTGTTTTCATTTTTGTATACTTAATTTGGGTTTTGTTCATTTTGTCTGTATTGGCTGTGCTGTGGTTTTCCTGTGGTTTTGTTTCTATGATAAAAAAATGTAACACAAAAATCATTTGAGAAAGCAAAAACAAAGACTGTTTGAGATTTAATTTATCCCTCAAGTAATTGGATTTTTAGCAAGCCGAGGGCAAAGGGCTGACATCAGAACATTTCTAAAAACATCTGTATTACTTCCCCATGCAAACAGAGTGACCCAGTTTGGGTGTGCGATTATTATAATTTATAATAATAGTATTAAAATACTACCAAATGGACTGTCACAGCTAATCCCTCCTTAACCCAGAGATTATCTGGATCAACAGGAGTGTTTTCCATCTCTGTCTACGATGGTTCTAGGATTTATTGTTGTTTACATAGAAAATGTCTGAGGGTTAAAGTCCCCAACTGTGAATTCAGTGAGCTGTGCGTTATTAGTAATCTTTATGCCAACTCCCTGTTCAACATTGGATATGTCATTAAAACTACTGGCCCTGCTCCCACCAGAGACAAAGGCAATTAATTTCCCCCTTTCCATAGTGATCACAGCAACACTTTACATACTGAGGACTTGTTTGTTGATGTTTGTAAAGAATTTGCAATCCTGGGATGAGCAAAGCTTTATAGAAGAATGAAGTGTGTATAGCACTGTCCATACTTAAATGGGGCATAGCACTTGAGCAAAGATCAGCCTATTTTAAGTCAGACCTATACTATACAGTTTTGATGGCCGGAGTGCATTGGATGTTCAGACCCAAAGGATCACTTTGTTTGCTATAGTTGAATAAGACCACCAATTCTGCTGAAAAATATTACTATGTATTAAGCAAAAGGCAAGGATTTCTTTGGGTGATACCTTTTATTAGACCAATGATGTAGCTGGGGTAAAGTTAGACAAGCTTTTGAATGTAAAACAGGTCTTAGGTCTTACATTCAAAAGCTTGTCTAACTTTATCCCAACTACAGTTGGCCCAAAAAAGATATCACCCAAAGACAGGCTTGCCCAACATACGGCCCGCAGGCCGCCATGTGGCCCACCAAGCCATTTTCACTGGCCCAAGGTCCCTTGCTCAGGGCAGGCAAGGAGTCCTGGCGCCTGCTCCGCACTTCACAGCGGCGGCGGTGGTGGGGCAGCAGCGAGGCAAGGCAGACAGGGCCAGCCCACAGGCCCCAGCCAGCAGCGAGGGGAGGGGAGCTGCTTACCCCCGCAAGGCGGGGCTCCTCATGTGAGCCGGGTCCCACCACTGCTGCCCCGAGGGCTGCGTAGCGTGGGGCTGCCCCAGCCGCGCCTGACTGGACTTCTTCTCTGGCTCCACCCCTTGCCCCCGGCACACAGATGGAGGAGCTGCAGCATGGCCTGCGCCCTGCCTGCATGTGTGGTGGACGGAGGCACCGGGTAAGGCCCTGCGCAAAGCTGGGGGTGCCTTGGGGCCAGGCCGGGGCTGCGGGCCACGCGGTTGCCGGAGCCGGGCTGGGCGGGAGGCAGGAGGAACCCAGCCCAGAGGTGCTCTATGTCCAGCCGCCTGCTTGGCGGTTCAGGTCCTGCTAATGTAGCCTGCATGGCTGAGGATGGGGGTCTGTATGCTGCTGGAGCAGCCTGTACAGTGAGGAGATCCTAGGGGCCCACCCCCACAGTGTTCAGCCTGTGCAACACATGCTGGTGTCATCTGGGGCCCCCAGCCTCACCAGATCTGAACAGCCCTGGACTAGCTTATCCTTGAGATCTCTTCCACGTCTCTGCAGCATGTGCCTACAATTTCTATTTCATTAACCACAATGACCATGATCAAGTTAGTAAAGGACACTTGCACACACTTTATGTTGGCAGAAATGGAGAGCACAAATTTCCCCTTATGGCTCCAGCTGCATTCAACCTTGAAAACAAGTATGTTGTGCTAAATCAAGGACGTCCCTTGGCGTTATATGAAGGTATTTAACTTTACTGTGGTCTTAATTTTAGAAGAAAACAGTTAACCAGT